CCAGTCCCCCACTCCACTTCATCAAAAGTGTCTTCTCCATGACTGACAGGGAAAAGCCACGAAAACGACCATAACGAGCCGAGAAAACCTTCGTGCACCCAGTTGGCCACGCCGATCGCGGGTGACTAAAGTCCACACCAACGAGAAGGAAAAGCGACTGCAGTCAAACAAGTTCCACAAACTTCAGCAAATCAGAAGGCCGTTCGCCAGTTTTAGGGTACAGTCTTCTGCGAAAACCAGCCTCACAAAAAGGAACACTTCTAGATGTTTACACTGGGTGCACTGGGCCTAACAGAGATGCCCTATCGAGCACAGCGTGCCCAAATGACCATGAAACAAAACAGGCGCATTTTACCCTAAATACTTGAACAAGTACAAACATGGTCGCCGAAAAGGCGATAATAAAAGATCTGTAAGTGGCAGCGATCGAAATTTTTCAAAGCAGGAGCATTTTTACCTTAAATACTTGAACAATTACAAACATGGTCGCCCAAAAGGCGATAATAAACGATCTGTAAGTGGCAGCGATCGAAATTTTTGCTGACGAAATGAAAAACAACCTCCCGCAAAGCTAAACTCATCGCGCAAGCCGGAATCCCACGATGCGAAACAAAGGAGATGAAAATTCTTCTCATGTCCTCATATTGCTTGGAGCTACTTTCGAAATTTAATTCAGTAATGGAGCTGGCTGAGGCATCTGTAGAAGCAGACCGAGGCCCGAATTCCTTTTTCGCAATCACCGACGTACTGCGCATCAGATATTCAAGAAGCTCCCCTTGAGCTTTTTCGAACTGACTCTGGTGCTGCTGTAAAGTTGCTTAGAGTCGCTTTGCCAAAATGGAATTCGTGGGCTCGGGTTGTCGCCAGGTGCTGCGACTGCTGAATAGTCTTCAAACTCTCTATCGGTCCTCGCCTTCCTGCTCCGCCTACTGCGGCATATCAGAAGACATGGTTGCCTCACGAAGCCCTTTATGGGGACAAAAGGAGATTATAACATCTGTATTTGTAGGGTGATCACAAAATGTTCCACAGTGTCGCGCTAGAATCGCCGTGAAGGGCGAGGAGCGTCGGCTGAGGATAATCGATCCAGATCAGCTAGCATTCTGACCAATCAGGGCATGCCCTCGGTCGTTAAGGGCGACTGGCCTCTGGACATGCCAGTAGGTGATTTAAGGCCTCAAAATGAATCTCTAATGCGTCGGATCCAGTGAAAACTTTGCCGCGGCGCTGATTAAGGTAATTCAAGAGAGCGCTTGAACTCGACATGCCGTCGTACCCGCCAGATACTGCGCGAGTCAACTAACCTCCCTCCTTGATTTGGTCACTGCCAACAGAAGACACTTTGACCGTCAGGGGTTAGTTGACGGCCAAACTGGACCTGGTGACCATTGTGCGCTGATCGTTGTTTTCGTCCGTTACTGGGTCAGAAATCGGAAGTCGATTAATGCACAGGCCAAACTGAAGCAAACGACTGGGCGGTACAAGCTTGTAGCGGTTAACGGCCCTAAGTAGTCTCTGGTGTGCAAAACAAATTCGTTGTTTTCGTTACTGGGTCAGAAATGGGAAGTCGATTAATGCACAGGCCAAACTGAGGCAAACGATTGGGTTGTACGAGCTTGTAGCGGTTAACGGCCCTAAGTAGTCTCTAGTGAGCAAAACAAATGAACAATGTAAGCCAGGTAAAAAGTCACAAGGAGAAAGATTCAAGTGAATCATGACTCAGTTCAAAATAGGATATTTCGTAGTTCCGTATTCCGTTGAACCTCAACACCACGAGGAGTTCTACATTCCAGGAATTCCAAATCTCCGGTGATCGCAATATTAATCCACAGATGTGAATAGATTTGTCAAGCGTATGCAGCTAAAATGTTTCTTCAAGTTTACAGTTAGTAGCAGTCACTTATAGCCAACCGGCAGTCACAACAACAGTCACTCAGCAAAAGTTTCAAAGTTACGTTGGACCCAAAAAAAGCGGGCGATTGGGGCTGCATTTCAGTAAAACGAACTTTTGTGCAGTGATGCGACCGATATTGATGGGGAAAAGGAACATGATACTGAGCATGAAAAATAGCAGTTTACAAGTGTTACAAGTCACGTGGTTCACACCATAACGCACAACTACTCCATACGAGACCTAGCTGCTTAGCAGGGACTTGTACCAACGGTGTCCCGTGGCTTGATGTCTAGGTGGAGTGGACTTCGCCTTCTGGTTCGGGGTTCAAATCCGAACGACTTTACCTTATCTCTTTTAGACTTTCCACGTTAGCACGTTTCTACATAGGACGCTTTTACTGACCGCCTTGTACAACGTAAAATATGATTAACAAGGATGAAGGCAACTTAGTATTTTGAGAGCGAAAGGTTTTGAATATGCATAGATATCCAAGAGTCGAGTTATTGCCAAAGTTCTACTGGGAGAAGTGACGTAGGTAGTTAGAAACACGCTATGCGAAGGAAGATCGGTGGAGGTCATTTTAAGGTGCGTGGATGCGTTTTGTGAAGATAAGTCTGCCTATTCATTTTATAAACGATAAATTGTACATGTTTCACGCGGAGAAGAAGAGATCTCCTGTATCAAATTGTTCATATTGTTTCGTGCTATTTCCTCGCTTGGGCTGATAGTCCGTCTTTCCTTAGTTTAGGCGATTTGACAATTTAACCCGTTTTTTCTTGGCTTGTGCACAACTAACCAATCAGCATGCTGGCTTGTGTATGAGTCACATGCCCCCCAATCGGACCGGCGCCGAAGAAGAGTGGATCGGTCTTGGTTTTAATGGAAATGCTCTGAGTGATAGGAACGCCTTAATCCAACGTAGAATGTCCCTTTGAATCGCGTAAGACTCGAGTTTGTGCAGTACCGGGGCGTGTGGGACTCGATTGAATGTCCCAAGGCGCAGAACAACTATGTCTTGTGCAGGAGTTGGCGAATGTCCTGGCATGTGATTCTTACGCGATTCAAAGGGACATTCTACGTTGGATTAAGGCGATCCTATCACTCAGAACATTCCCATTAAAAGTAGGCTCGATCTACTCTTCTTCGGTGCCGGTTCGATTGGAGTTCCTCAAAGATCCGTTTTGGTACCACTTCTGTTTTTGATCTACTTCAGCGACCTTCCAGATGTTCTTTCAATTCCATGTCTAGCTTTCGAGGACAACTTGAAATCCTAGAGTTCAGTTGTTTGTGCCCGCGGTGGTCATTGGACCTTCCTCAGAATGACGAAAAGTGCGTCCATATGTCACTTTGGGGGACTCAACGAACGCCCTTTTCGTTCATGGTGAGAACAATCTCACCAGCTGGGATTATCACGTTGGATTTGCCTTCGGGCTGTTTCGGTTCAGTTGTGGAACATTTACTTTTGTACATCCAATATGTATATTTTATCCTTGTTTCGTGTTCTCTAAGTGCTCTGCGTAAACGGCCAATGATAACACCATTTCAACGCGGTTATTGAACCATCTCCATTAGTGGCCAGAAGTTTGATGTACAGATTCCGTTACTAGGATCCATTTTCTGCATCGGGTACGACGATATGCACGCTTAACCCTGTGGTTACCAGTGCAGGTCGTAACGTTGATGCGTAGTTACGTATACGGTGTTAAGCCGTAATAACGCGATAGAGTAGGTCTAATAACGGCGATTTACGGTAACACGGTGGTGATTTCACCATTATTTACCGTTGAACTTTAGTCTAATGACGGTCATTTAATCACCACCAGGAAACACGGTTATTTAACCGTTCAATAACCGGAAAGCGTGGTTATTTGACGGTTATTTAACCGAGCAATAACCGGCAACCAGTTATTTGACGGTTATTAGACCGAGCAATAACTGGCAAACACGGTTATTTGACGGTTATGTTGGTGCAAATAACTTGTTAACCATAAAAGGTGGTTATTTGGCGGTTATATAACCGTCGTATAATCGGAAAACTCGGTTATTTTGGACTGCGTGTGCTGCTAGGGAATGTATCAGAAGGCATCACGAGAATGAATGCCAAAAATGAGTTTGGTGTCTGGCTCTATTTGAACATGTCCTTCTTACTCCGCTCAAAAGGCATTCGCCGTTCTATGGATGATTCAGGGCATCTTTTGCCGTATTACTCGCATGGACTTCCAAATACTCCGTGAGGCCTACGTCAGACTGCTTGAATATGCCAACGAAGTTGTCTACTTAGGATGCAAGAAGCACGTAACCCCCATTGAGCGAGGCGAACGAGCTGATACGAAAATGGTTGCCGGCCGTAAATCCGTGGACTGTGAATCTCCTCTCGCGGTGCTTGACCTCTTTCCTTCGGAGTATAGTCGACTCCGTGGAGACCTAACACTTGCTTATGCCATGTTTTAACAGGGTTTGGTCAACAGGGTTTTCATCGTTGATCCAGCTAACACACGGTGGGGACATGTTAACGAGATTTTCGAGCTCAGAGCGCACACTTTTTTAGGCAAAGTTTTTCTCATTCCGGCTGGTTGTTGCGTAGAATAGTCTTCCTCCGATTTTCCATGCTACATCTGTTACCCAGCTCAAAGCACCATTATACTTTTTTTAAATGCGAATCCCCGCGCTTGCAAGCCTAATGCCCCGCCCTAAGAACTTGAAGAGCAGTGCTAGACTCTTCTTTTTGCCTGTGCCTTTTAGGTGAATGGCAGCTGCTGAACGATAAGTGCAAAACCGATCCGGAAAACTTGGGTGAAAGCCTCAGTCCTATGTATCAGTTCTCGTATCCGTGAAATCACTGACTGATACACAAGATCGAGGTTTTCACCCAAGCTTCCCGAGTTGTCGAACACTCTTGCTTCCAGCACATCCTGTCTTTGGAAATTTCGGGGTTTTATCCGATTCATATTACCCCAAACTCTTCAAAAGTCCAGCGATTGTTCATCTCGGTCCACCTTGCGATTTTCGCTATTTCGTGTGTGCGTTCACACTGTCTCTCTCTGAAATTCAAGTATTTGATGGAAGATGTAGTTTCATTTTCTGTTAGTCTCCATACATCACTCACGAGCCAATGAACATGGTATATAGGGAATCCATGGCAAACGTACTTTCTTCACTGAGGTAGTCACAGCCATCGCGCCGATCTGCTTTAAGTACTACATGACGTATCTTCATATCATCTTATGTCATTTCAGCGAACCATTTCTCTCAACCATATTGTTTATTGCTTCCCAATGGTATGTGTTTGTATTGCTCGGATGTAATCCACCCCACTAGTTACTGGAGTTGGCCGTTCAGTTTGGCCCAGCAACATCGGCAAATCATTTGCGAAACCTGTTGGATAAGGAGCACGGTACTCCTCAATTTTTCTCACTCGATTTGCGGCAGACATAAAATGCATCGAAGTAAACGAGAGTGAAGAGCGGTTGGTTGTGGATTCAACTTTGCCGGTGTCCACTCTCCTGAACCTGATTCGTTCGCAGGGATTTCCAACACTATTTCGTGGTACGTCTTCCGATGCGGACGGAATGAAAGGTTAGTGTTCTCGGATCTTTGTACATCTTTATGCCTCGTGTAGCCTGTGACTTTGGTTCTGGTGTGGCCGTGCTCTCAGAGGGTGGTAAGGTTTGCGGAATATGTCGTCTTTTTCAACCAAGTGACGAGACGCTCCTTGTGGATGCCTCGGCTGATGGACTTTTCCCAGAACATCAAATTTTAATGGCGATCCACAGTTTTGGGGATATATCCAACGATGCAATGTCATGTGGGGAAATTTTAACCACTACCGAGGTTGGTGCCTTCGCTCACAGGTTTTAGAGCGTGGTCTTATTGCTGGTTCGTCCACGTTTCAGGTTTTCATTGTAAAATTGTTTGAATCAGTTTGAACTCGCTTACTGCTCGTTTCATGGTTAGGGTTCCATATAGGCGCGAAACTACTGCCCTAAACTTCTGTTTCGAACTCAACTTCAGCAGCTAGGCACAGAAGGGTGTGTCTTATGATTATTATTGTTATTATTCTTCCTCATGATTAAGGCGCTGACTGGGCGTTGAAACCTTGGACTGGTTTACTGGAGTGTGGATGTGAAGCAAAATGGAGCATACATCCCAAGGCGGGCACACAAATGAATAAGAAGATGCACATCTTTTGTTGAAGTTAATGCAGAAGTCGAAACTGAAGGAGGTCATGTGAAACGACAGTTCTGTGGCCTCATCAGGGATAATGACCAAAAAATCAACTTGCTCACAAACCAATGAAGTAGAGAGTTGGCAAATTAGTTCACAATAATCGAATGCGAGGCTTTTATGGATTGCGGATCCGGCACTATGGAGTGCCACAAGGTGGTCCCTGCGCTCATGAAAATTGTGTACACTAGTGTCTTTGGATGGGGACCATTGTCATCATTATCATTGACAGTGGCACAAGATGAGAACACTGGTGCTTCACTGCTGTATAAGCATGCAAATTTATTTCAACCGAGCCTTTTAATCGAAAGGAAAAAGATGGGAAAGGAAGCGGGACCTAAGGTTGGTCTACCACGAACATCCGAGGTGCCTACACCTCCAGAACTCAATCAGACAATTTGAACGGAAACACGGCGGGATGGCTCAGTGTTTAAAGTGCGGATGTACTATCCGGAAGGTCCGTAGTACCCGACCTCTGCTTCTCGGCTTCCTTCTAGGCCTGGGCAACCTGGCACTATCCCAACCCTCGTGCCTCCCTCTGGTGACAGGGCAGTTAGGGTCCGAAAGGGTGTTACAGCTGAACGAACGACAGCATGAACGCCACTGACGCCGGTTGGCCGCTATATTTTTCAGTGTCTCCAGCCAGGCACAGGCAGGGTCACGTGGATCCCATCTTAGAAGGCACACGGAACCAACGGCGTCCAAACGTTTCGTAATATCCTTCACCTCATTATGCCATGTCAACTTCTGTCCACCCCCAAGTTTCCGGCACTTCGAATTAGCCTCGGGCAGCATCAGTCGTCTCGGCGCTGGTAACTGGGCATTCGTAACGCATGGTCCAGCCACCTAAACTTGCAGTGCTGGGTGCATTCTTTTGGTGAACTACGGTCCGCTTCACCAGAAACTTGTCTCCTGATCGCCTCATTGCGAATCCGCCGATTCCAGCCATACTGTTGAGACATCGGTGGTCAAAGAACTGAAGGCGTTTTAGATCCTTTGGAAGTGTCCATGTCTCGCAGCTGTGCAATGATAAAGCCCACAGTGTGATACACGCGTCCTCTGAGATCCAGTGAAATGCTTTTTTTACGCCACAAGTGGTGCAACTTCGCAAACGCATTTCTAGTCTTCTAGATCTGTGCGTTCACTTCACCTAGCACATTAGCGTCAGAGCTAATGCAACTTTGCAGCTGCGTAGTGTTTCACAACCTCCAGTATCACTCCTTGGATTCCCACAGATATGTTAAAGACTGTACTCTTGCGGCATGACTCTGCACTTTGTGGACGCGAAGCATATGCCGGAGGACTTGATAACCTTATTCAACTTTTCAAGTAACGCTCACACTTCATGCTGTCTTGGGTGTACCAGAGCTGCAATCTGTTGGGGCGTAAGCAGATACAACAACAGAAAGAGATTATCAGTGGGTTTACGGGATGCTTTCACAGATGTCGCCAAACGAGCCGCACAGAGGTAACCACCAACGGACACCCGTTCACCCAGAATCCCTTCAGCTCGATGGCTTAGAAGGATACCAAACCCAGCAGAATCAGCAATAGTAGCTTCAGGATCACCAGAGGTGCGCAACCGGTAGCCAGCGGGGACCGATCGGGAGGCCAGCTCAGCAACCGTTCCTGGATCCTTGAATTCTCGTTTTAGACACCACTCGTCAACAGAAAGCGAGTCCAGCGTACATGTAACGGCGATTCTTTTCCTCCCGCTTGTATCGGAATGCGAACTTTAGAGGCTGCTATGTGAACTAAGCGACGGTTTTCGAAGAAAATTTCAAGGTGCCTCTGGCCGTGGCAACCGAGTCAACTGTCGATATTGAAGCTAGCGACAATGGACGACAAACAGATTAGTTAGTCCTTACGAGTGAATCTACGGACATGTAGCTAGAAACCGGTTGAGGAATGGGAGAGGAGCAAACATTTGAAACAGGGGAAGGGGAAGCGTCAGCAGTAGATTGGTTTCGCTTACCCGCCCTGTCATATGAAGCAAGCAACATGACCCGGCTGATGACACCACGCGATGGCCCACGTGGCATGAGTTTATTTGTGTGTGTGCAATTTTTGTTGTAGGTGGGCTGGGATACTGCTAGGGCGCCAACACGTAGACCGGCGAACGATTAAGGTCCTAAACCAAGGCCGTTAACTCAAAAGCCTGACCACAAGGTAGCGGTGTTTGGACAGCAATGCAAGTGCGCTTCCATTTTTACAGAAAGGTCTCCCAAACGTTCCAATCCTCAACCTGGAGGACCAGGCGACTGCGTTGGTCAGATCCCTAACCACTGACCAGCCTGATATGAGAGGCTGGATGTCGCACGTAAACCACCCGTGGATTCCCAATGGGAACCCCCAGAAAACCCACAGGCATTATGAGTCTTCTCATTCACACTACATCAAACGTGCGGTTGTTGGGTCAGTGGTGAATTGCGTAAGGGAAGTATGCTCGGATGAGTCCATGCAAACAGACGAATTGAAGCCACTTCAAAATGAGCACCCTACGGGGCTCGTTGTCCAACAAACGGAGCAGATGCTACATGGAACTATTAGGAAGAAAGTCAAAAACCCGATGGCTACCGTTGGAATACCCCATAAAAATGGCACTTTAGACACCATTCGATAGATACTTCGGGAATGAGATTAAAACATTCTTGCGCATCGATAACACCTTACAACAACACCTCGTAAGGGCCCAACATGCTTGTGGCATAGCACCACCAGGCTCACACAAGCACCGGATATCAGACTGAACGGTGGCTCTTCTTAAATCTCGGGGAAATATCTCAACCGGCCCCGAACATAACTTGATGCGACGAATTGTCAGACGTCAACCGAAGGTGATTGTGCTAGCCGACCGTGAAGTGGGGTGGACACAGAAAGCAAAAAAAAATGGAAGAGGCTCGGAAAGCCGGTAATGCCGAAAGATTATTTCAGTCGATCCGTGCGACAGTCTCCGGAAACCAACTAAACGAAACCATCAAGGAGCGGAAAGAAGTATCCATCTTAAATAGAGAAGAAAGCCTCGACCGATGGACCAAATACTTCTCGTGGCCACCAGCTGCTACTGATCTGGAGCCCACAGTTAACGTAGAACCCTGGACGGTGAAAGTGGAACCGTCTGCGGCTTCGGAGGTTCATGATTGCATATGTTCTCTTAAGCGCCACCGAGGCTCTGGTGCGGATCACCTCCCACCCGCATTGTTCAAAGATGGGGATGAAGTCCTCAGTCAGCGCTTGTCTGGTCTGTTTGGTTGCATTTGGGATAGGGAGTCTGTCCCAGACAACTGAGGAGAGTCGGTGGCAGCGTCCATTTTTGTAGCGAGTGTGGTAACCGTAAGAGGATCAGTTTGACCCCAGTCATAACGATACTGTTGGCTTCGTCGCCTTATGGTGGCTCGTGAAACACTGACCCGAGAGTAGCAAGCGGGATTCCGGCCCGGTAGCGGTTGTGTTGACCGAATCTCCACACTATCGGGTACCAAAACAACACCATACGTATAAGCGACCACAATTCAGTGTTCCTGGATTTCCAAGGCACATTCGACTTGGTTGATTGGTCTGTTCTTCTTGACGCGCTTACTAACCATGGAAGGCCTCGGAAGTTTATGAACATAAGGTGCTCCTTTTATTCCCAGACTTCCGGAATTGTGAGAGTATACGGCGAGCTCTCCAAAAGCTTCCGTATGCAAAGCTGTGTTTGTCAGGGATACCACTCTCTACATTCCTATTTGATTTCGTGATCGATGGAACCCTAAGACGAACGCTGGAAGGTCTTTGAAACCCCGGTGTTCAAACATTATCTGACGAAAACCTTGTCAGACAACTCCACGTGCTAATCAGGAGCACGAACGATCTGCGCGTTTTCCTCCAAGAAACCCAGTAGAAATAAAAGAACTTGACCATGACTCAGACATTACACTCCACGCACTTGGATCAAGCCATCAAATCGACTTCGATAGTACACGTGTACTGCTGTCAGATTTCAAGTCACACATGGAACAGACATGTGCTAAGGCCCTAGGGATAAACACAACCGAGCTGCATCAACCTTGGTGTTGGCGGTAGCATCCCCATCTATCTGGCTTGAACTTAGTTCACACCTTAGTAGACATAGTAGCCAGATGTCAGACAGGGATCTCAATAATGACGGATCAAAGCCAGCACAACAAACGGAGGCACATCCTTACCAAAGTACACACAACTACGCGTACGCGCACACAGGGCTGACACACACCCACAGACGCTGGTTGCACCTAAGTGCCAGCTGGTCACAAGAACAGAAGACGGTGGTGGGCCCAAATGACGCTACGTTTGATTAGTAATCATCTGACTATAGAAATCCTTGAAAAACGTTCCCACAACAACCGAAATTCGGTATCACATCTTATTCCACTACGCTCTGTTTCGACTGTAAAATTTCCACATTATATACCACATGGAACACAGTGCTGTAACACAATCCCATCCCAGTTGGAATCGGAACTCATAATATGTACTCTAGATTCATAGCAATCTTTTCTGGCGCTACATCTCACGTGTTAACGAGCAGTTTTCTTTGATGTCTATCCGACTGAACTACACTACCCGTTCTTCATGACGTCGTTGTGTTAGGATCTGGACCACTACACATGAATTGACGAGTGTGTATCTGAACCGTTTTTAGTCCACCTAGTTCACGAATGTTTTGAAATGCTCTTATTATTGACCGAGGTAACTTTACCAAATAGCTTTGAGCTCATCCTCCACTTGCGACTTCACGATTCGTACAGGTCATGTACCTAGTACTTCATATGCTAGATTCACTGATCAAGTACATTGGTCGGCACCACGAACGTGCACCTGAGGTGACGTTGTGAGCCAAATTCCCGCTGTGAGTCATCAGTTTTGTGTTCATGCCACTCGTGTGATCAGTCATCTTCATGTCCTGGCATGATTATTCCAGTTACTTCCGAAGCTGGGGGAAGTACTAAACTCGGATTTCGTTCTTAACAGAACTTATTGAAGTCCGGACATGCGACATGCCAGGAGTGCCTGTTTGCACTCGAGCAACACAGTCTGGACAGAGTTAGATGATCACATCTGAACGGCCGAACCGATTCACCTTAGGGTGGTGTGATAAATCGCCTTCTGTCGACCCTGTGCTTCCTCGCTTGGCCCAGCGTAATCGTGTCAAAACAGAGAGACAATTCTTCATTCCAGAGTTTTGTAAGTACAAATGTCCGAAATCGACTTTCACGTATTGGTCCATTGTGGCTGGTTAGAAATCGGTCGCCACGCCTAGCAATGCTCGTGTTTTTTAATATCCGAACTAAACTGATCCTGATGGGTTCAGTTGGCGAAAATTTCCAAAGCTTTCCTGTAACTTCTGGGAATAAAGTTCGCAGGTCTCGGGCAGGTGGAAACTCTTAGACTGAGCTTGCCGTCAGTAGGTAAAGGTAAGGAAAGTAAAAAGTAAAGGTTATTTTTGTGTGCACAGCGTCTGAGAAGCAGGCTCACCCTTCATCACTTTGTAACTGTCATCTTGTTTTTTAGGGAACAGCTCAATTGGGCACGGTTCAAGCTGATTCTGATGGCCATGCTTCATGGTTGGTGGAAAACACTACACTGAAACTCTGGAATTTGATTGGCCGTTCAGTAGTGCTGCATGATCTAACCGCTTCTTCCAGGTATGGTTTGTACATTACCCCGAATTCTCGTAAGGTTCGTGCACTTCTTAACAACTGATGAGTTCTCGATTTTCACTGACTGTGCACTTAGCCTTTAAGAGCAAAGCGGTCGTAAATTTTTAACCAGGACAGTCACTTTGCTGTCGGTCTGACTCTAGCGTTGGCTGGTTCGCCGGTTCACAGGCGACGTTTGAGGTCCACCAATACAAATTTCACATTCTTACACGGCCGGTAAGCTTTAATAAGGGTGAGACTCAAATCAAGTGCTCCTCTCTAACCAAACGAGTACTTCACTCCAACAGGGGGTTTGCCCAAACGGATGATACGGATATAAATTCTGTGAATTGTGCACTAAAATTAATCTGGTGGTTCATACACTCATCTGCATACCAATTTGGTTTTGACTCAAGCACAACACAACTCATCACAAGCGTGATAGCCCTATGGGAGACTGTAGGTTGTGAGTCGGACGGGATGTGAAAAACTAATCTTGCCTGAGCCCTTCAAGGTGAAGTTTATTCAACAGCCACAAATAGATTATGATGCAGAAGCAAACCAACTGCTTGGATCTGTGTAAAAGAATAGCGAACCTCATTATTCGATAAGTACACTCATCTGCATTTCAATTTGGTTTACACGAGTGACTCATCTAATCTCCCATTTATGGTGTTCCCAATCAACTGAATGTGCTTTACCAGGCTGTCTTATGTTTTTTTTGGTACGATATTTGAGATACCGCAGTGCATTGCACCGACGCAATCCACTATTCATAAGGTTGCTGAAAACTCGTCGACAGGCTTCAACGGGTTTCACTTTTCTTTGGGCCCATCTGGCAGGCTCACTGCTCGAGTTCCCACCAACCCTATGTTCTATTTGAGCCCAAATTGCCCGAAATTTGCATCATTTGCATACGATTTTGGATTTTATGAGAGACTCATCTCCCTCAATCAACGATAGCTTGAGAAAGCTCAGTGGTTAGGGCGCGAACCTGTTGACCGAAAGGTTCGAATTCGACCGCTGCATTTCCACTGTTCCTGTCTAGGCTTGGGCAACCTGACAGCATCTTAGCTTTCGTACTTCCTCCGTGTGGTGTGGCAGTTAGGCACAGAAAGATTGTTACGACTGAATTATGATAATACTAGTAATTATTATTACTAACGAAATCCCAGAGTTTGAGCGCACTCCAAAGCTCAAATAGCGGTAGCATCTGCCAGACGTCAAATCATCATCCGCATTGGACCTGAAACATGCGCTTTCTTTCCGATGCTTCACTTATTCTGCTCCGGAAAGCACCGGGTACTATTATGTCACTGGTATTGTGGTTACCTCCTCAAACGAACACACCTTATAAATGGAAACTGCCATTATTGACTTCCCTTGCTTCAGTTTACAGAAACATCTCCATACACATGCCCGGAGGATCTCTGGGAAACTATTTTGAAAGACAGACTTTCGTGTTTGCCCTTATGCTGTTTTTAGAGTTCAGCTGCTGTCCGTGCTTTTTGCACTCTTCCGGAGAATTTATCGAATACTAACCTGGAGCATACAACCTAGTGTAGACACTGTGATGCCTAATGTATTCCTCAATGAGTGAGCTGTACTGAAAATAACAGTACTATTATCTGACGTTCATATACTGGCCTAGGTAATCTAGTAGTTGTCATTATTGTGTTGTAAGATCCATTTACCTACTGGCTGTACCAAGTGATTGTCGCAGTTGAAAATTTTGTACGTTCTGCACTATTCGTCGATCATTGTGATTTTCTTCGGGCACATCTATTCAGTGCATATTTTCTGTCGTTGATAACGTCAAAGCGCCCTCTCGTTCTAAAAGGATTGGTTGGGACCATTGCTATGACTGCCCCCAAGCACTATCTTATATTCGTTCAGCTGTAGCTCTTTTGGGTGCCTAACTGCTATGCCATCGGAACGAAGCACGAGAGCTGAGAAACATGCAGGTTGCCCAAGCCTAGACAGGAGAAGTCGAGAGGCAGAGATCGGGTTCGAAACACGGACCTTTGCGGTCAGTAAATTCGCACTCTAACTACTGGGCCATCGCGCCCCCATATACACGCAATCGGCAGATTTACTCAGCTTTCCTACGCGACGAGTGTTGACTTCTAGTTCCAGTCTAATCCGCCACAGATTCTTAGAGGAGCGTGAGAGAAAGCAGTCGAAGTGTACGAAAGGCTCGTTCTTTGTAAGCATTGATGCTGCTTGAGAAGTGATGAGTGCCATACGTATGATATAGGCGTTTCACTGCTTCGTAATTTTGTCTGCGTGAATGATTTTGGGTATTAATTTCCTGTGAGTAACTCCACGATACATAGACTGTCTTCATATAACTCTTGTTTAAGCATTCTCCTTTTCTTCCTGAGAATGATAAGCGCTTGGTTGGATTTCCGCGTTTTCGAGGGCTCACTTGTGGAACAATCGCACCAGGACAGAAGATGGGCGAATAAAACAATAAGAGCGATTTAGAATCAAACCCTGCATATCTTGTAACGTCAAATAACTGACGGGTATAAGGTAAGATACGCTGTGCCTGCTGCGCATTCGAACAACTGGTCAGTGACCAACTGATTGCAGATTTACAGCTATGATCGCGAGGTGTCACTGACCAAAGGTGTATTCCATCATGAGCTCAAAGTGGACAGAATTACCACTAGCACCGCTTACGGCACAACGACCTACTGCTTACGTCATAAGAAACTTCCAAATTAACTTTTTGACTCTAAATTTAGAGCAAATTTACGTACATTAGCTTTAGGCGATGTCTTCGCCAAATGTACCTAATTTGTAGTAAATAAAGCCCCCTACCGACACAAAACAATTTTCATTTGGCGACCATCAGCAATGTGGATCTAATGAACTCCGCGGGGAAGATTCGTTCTCGCAACCTCCCGGATAGTAGTCCAGGGCTAGGTCGTTCGGCCTCAAGTGGCTGATGGACAATGGGATCAACTTGCACGTAGACATGATATATGGGCACCCACCCTTCAATCACCGCATTTACTTCACGTGATCGCGTGTGTCGAATGATGGCTTATCAGATGGAAGGTTCAGGCAACTCATGAGTGATTCCGCTCTACCCTCAGGTTGAAAGCCCGATTGAGCATTTTTACTATTAACAACTCGGATGGTGGACCAGTTCACAAGTCACATGAGCTTTCCGTGTTAGAAGTCGCGTGGAAAGCTAGTCAGAACGAAACCGCGTGATTTAAGTAAGGTGGTTGAAGAATGGAGGATGCTATATTCTGTCTAATTACGAGCTAATCATGCTGTTGATCAGCCAGTGGTGGCCGAGCCCTTACTTCATCATGTAGTAGAGACTTTCCATACAAAATATGTATATGCTCGTGTGGAGAATAAGCAGCTCCCATTGATCAAGAGATAATGGACCGCATTCACTTCATAGCTCAACTGATGCGGTATTGAAGACAACCAAAGTGTGTTGTTGGTACGGTCTGTCTTCTACGGTGGGGTCCCATGACTCAACTTGCGCCTGGCTAGAGGCACTGCAAGAAATAGCGGCTAGTCGATATCGATGACCTTCGTGCCGTCGGTTTCTTTCCAGATTAAGGGCTTGGAGGTGTAGATGACAGACTGCTTCAGATAAGCTAGCACCAGGTCCATCCCTTATCGATGGCATTCACTTCTTTTTACAATAAATATAACTTTATGCTCGTACTGCAGTAAAACGTCAGTGTCAACACTGATGTTGCTGTCCATGATAATGGTGATGACCTCATTGTATTTCACGCTTTCGAATTTTTCTTTCCACAGAATCGCCTGTGGTATCATTGCACGATCCGCAAATATATTCTCCAATCCAAAGAAGGTATGCGCCTGTTCTGGGAGAACCATGTGGGAAGAACATGCTGCAAATCCCGTTGGATGAAATGTCGTTGTCTCCAGTGAGGCCTCTTCATGCACAAGATAGCATTTTTTATGTGATCAGCAGATTAACATACTTGTCTTCAACGCTAATCTTTCTACGCTGTTTTCTGCACAGATTATAGCAACACTTATGACGGCGTCGGGATTTAAGCCGTTTGGGCTACATTTCAACGTGGTGTGTTATTTTGTGGGATATCTTTCACGCTTGTATGGGGAATCTCCACCTTCTGTTTTACTTGAGCGTTGTTAGTTTGTAATTGTTTACTAATGCCTTTTCATTCCATTCTGTGGTGAGCAGCTACAGAGTTCACTCTGGGAATTGTTTTACTGACGCTCGATGAAGTGGGTGAAAACTTTAAAAAGTTAACTTGGAACGAGCAACAAAGAGTTCACACACTACGGAGCCAACCGAGGTATTCCTTAAGATCCTACTGCATCTAAAAAGGTGTTTTGGCGTTTTGTAAATAAAGCAGCATTTTTCATCACGGCGTCCTGGAAAGGGATCAGTGGAACAGTAAATTAACCGAGGAGGCGCACGTGCACCAACAAATCCGTGAATAAAATGAAAGGAACAAGAGATGTTTTCAGTTTCGTAGCACAAAAAGGCAGACTTCGAAATCTGTCAAAGGTTGCTTGGATATTTGGGGATGCCAGTCAATGCCAGATGCATTCAAACTTTGGTTTAGTGGCTCCTGGGTCAAGGCATAAACTGCCCGACGGGAAAGTCCGTAGTTCAAACCCGACATCTCATCTCAACGCTTCTGTTTAGGATTGGGGAACGTGGTGGTATCTCGGCCCTCATTCTTCCTTCGGCTAGGCAGCTAGGCATTAAAAAACGGTGCTATGGCTTGGACATTTTGTTTGATTGTTTCAATTAGCTCTCGATGTAGCCAGTCAGTCCAGTTATGTTACCAAATTTCTCATGACGTCGGTAGCCATTTTTTCCAATTCAGCTAGCCACTTTTTAAGATCCCAATTATTGTAGAGCTGCTTCTCTGAACTTGCAACTGAAAGCTTATTACAATAAGTGGTTGTGCACAGATTTTGATGAGTTATGTCCTGGAGAAAAAGATTCGATTTCTGATTACATTTTGCACAACCGTGATGTCATTATTCTCTGTAGGAATGATACCGAATTCGGAAATCTGGTGTAATTTCCCAAACAGGCACTTGTTTGCACGGTGAGTGTATTCGCACCCCCCCAAACTAGTTGTGGTCTCACCGCCGTTCAAAGGGAACAGATAACACTTGAGACCAAAATATTTAGTTCAGCAAGTGTTTGTTTTCTATTTTAAAGCACCCACCTTACATACGGATGGTATTCGTTTTGGGCGAGATGGCCCAAGTGGTTAGAGCGCGAATTTACCGACCGGAAGGTCCGTGGTTCGAATCCGACCTCCGCCACTCGACTTCCCCTGTCTAGGCTTGGGCAACCTGGCAGTATCCCAGCCCTCGTGCTTCCTTTGGGTGGCATGGCAGCTAGGCACCGGAAGGGTGCTACAGCCGAACGCTTTTTTTATGCAGAAGCTTACAAGTACATTGATGGCTTATCACTGGGTAGTCTGCTTGGATTCGTCTTAGCAGACGATTTTCTCGAGCTATCGGAACTATCTGTCGACCTTTTACACGGCTCTTTGCAAGCGTCATGTGCACGATATTCTGCTCATGGATTTTACTCATTCTGAACTCTTACATGTAAATTAGCCATTTACATTCCAACGACAATATTCTTTGAAACGCGTAGATTACACTGTCAGACTTTCAGTTTACCCAACGCCGATGTGGAGTAGGCAGTACGTTAAATTTTTGATTTGTGTCCAAGAAGGTTGTGAGAAGGGTTAAATGTACACTATTTGTACGTGCCAGACGTATTTGTACTCCGGATTCCTTTCAGGATGAAGAAGAATTCCTAACAAAGACTTCTGTGTTTAAGGGTTATCTGTAGAAATTCATCCCTGTGCACAGGAGGATAAAGCCAAACTTCGACACAGTCCACTCAGTTCTAAAGAAATGCTTTTGTTGGACTATTTTATCGTTCACTTTTGAAGAGCATGATCACAGACATAAAAAGTGAATGTAAGCGATGAATGCGAAAGGGTAACATGAGAATATGAGATAAAAAAAGAAAGGTCTTATTCGAAGCCATGCTACCAGTTACATCCGTAAGACAAGACAATCCAGCCGCACGATTCGTTCTCCAACCCGCAAAGAGGCACGTAAAATTGCCAAATTTAATAGGTAAAGCACCCCAAATTACGTGCCGTTTATCGGTTCCGCAGCTTGGGTGACACCCAAGTCGGTACACCGAGACCTAGTGGGGACGTGCCTCAGGAGATGTGCCCTGCTACTTGAGCCATGATGGATCAGTCGATGGAAACAAGACAGTCTCAAGCGTGGAGACCCACCATATCCAGGTTATCATCAGGCTTTTTGTCCAAGAACATGACTAATGCTTCACTACACCTAAGTATCATTATATGAATAAGTTCTTTTGACCAATTAATTTAAACTGAGATTCTACACACAGATGGCCTTGACTTCCGTCTGTTGACCTCATATACTGGACCTGATTGATTTCGCTCTCTTTTTATCACTTCCTTTCTATGCAGCCAACCGATTGTCTTTAGTAACTGATTAAGGAGATGAAACAATATATTGGCCTTATGCGGATTTTGACTTCTTACTGCACTTAAACGGGGACCCCTCCGTTTTGACAAGTTAGAGCTCGGGTTATGATAACCAGACCAACAAGGTGGATATGGTTATCCTATGTAATAAAATTCCACATGGAACTGGAAGACATTCGGTTTAAACGGTCAACTTATACAAATTTCTGGACCGGCCTTTGACGTCTGGTGACTATCACGTCATCTTCGACATGAAGCGGCCTTTTAAACCCCATTCATTTAGACTATCATACAAGATATTCAGTTGGGTTTCTGGTTAAAACCACTGAGTTATGGACGAATATAATCCGCTTATCGTGTACAACTTAGTGCTCAAGTAGAACATGAGGTTAATGGGAACTCATGGGACACGACTACCAGATGAATTCCAAGAAGGATGAAACCGGTGGGGGGGTGTGTCATTGGTTTTCAACAGCCTCATGGGTAGTGAGTTGTATGAATAAAACTGCGAGCCTGCTCCTAATGGGGCGCATGATCTCGGATATGGAACTAAGTCTAGTCGAGAGAATTAAGCAGCGACTTTGGTAGAACAGGAAAAGTTCGTAGTAAGCAGGTGAACCATCGATGCTGAACACCGATGTCATGCTGTCGATGATGGTGATGATGATGACGGGGAACAAACAAAACTACAGGGATCCGACAAAGACACTCATTTGCAAATCAATTTGGTTTTCACGGGAGACTCAAGTGAATCTCTCGTTTATGATGTTCTTCAACTGAATGTGCTGCACACAGGCCGCCTCATTTTTCAGTTGGTATGATATTCGAGACATCGCCTTACCCATTTGAAAACAGCGGCAGGTTACATACCTAAAATCCCTGAGTAAAATGCTAAGATTGTCTTCTGGAGTGTTGGGTCAGTCCACCATGTAATCTCACAGCTAACAAGTGGTATTATTAGACCTTGACACCTCAGTCAGTTTAGCAAACCCAGTATCAAAAGAGTAAAGGTTTTTCCAATTGAGCTTCATTCACTTGTCTTGGAGGGGCAATATCGGCTACAAAAGGCAGGGAATGTGTTCGACTTACGACAATTAGGCTTCTACAAGCGCCAGATTTTAATTACCTAGCAAAAACTGTTTTATATCATGCGTTTATACCGCGGAGTTATTTCATAGGTTAGTCATATGATAATGTATCGTTATAAGTGAGAAACGTTTTGGCTTGGATGACATGGTTTTTGTTCACAAAAAGAAACATCGAATTTGCTGTTACATTTGTCCTCAAAATATGTACTTTAGTGGAGTTAGACTGCAGTCGGTAGTGCGTTAAAAGTTTGGGAATTCACACTCTAATGCCAGTGACCATGGTGACGTTCACGTGCATTCCGGCGGGCTGAAAATATACAGAGAATTACGGTGTAGATGTCGCCCCCACGTAATCGGATATTGAACAAAGGTGGCTGGTGTGAGATTTTAGTGCACACAAAGCTGACAAAAATCCCATTCATTTGTTATTGTAACAAATTACCGAGGAATAATAGCCAGGTATTCGCGATACAAAATTATACCAAATAAAAAGTTTTCGCAGCTTGGTTTATCACACAACGATTCGTAAATCGTTTATTTTATGAAGTGAGATTTTCCTAGAATATGAACTTGCAAACAAACCCGAAGGAAGGTCGGTGAAATCATGTTGTTCCAAAACATTTTGGTAGCAAAATCAGACTGTTTTGGGATCTATGACGGCAGTTGGCCCTGTTTGAAACAATCAGCACCATCTAAGTTCTATATCACGAAACACCCGCACGTAGCAAGCAACGAAAGATAGGCTACACCAATGGGTCAAACACCCACTTAATTTCTTTGACTCATTGTCGTGAATCTCGAATTGTCAGAGTTTGCGTAAGAAAACCCAAATAACAACGCCAATGCTGCAACAAAAATAAATTATCACATATTGAGGATGACAGTTTTTGTGGGTTGCAGTTGATGGGTTAAATGTCAATCGTTGAAATTCATCATGTGGGTGACGAACGCAAGTTATGATTTCTATCCGGAATTAAATAATATGTAGGCGTCTATTTGGGGAAGACTGCCAAAATAATCAACGCAGATGAATTAATGAAATAGGGTCGAACTATAGAGCACACGGCAGTTCAATTAGTCGAACAACGTAGACCTCTCTGTGGCAGCATTCCGAGTAGAAGTGCGTCGAGAAAAGGGACACTGAGAAATACACATGAAAAGTGCGGTTGCACGTGAAAACACCCCCGAAGGTGCTCTTGCATAGTAGCCTTTGTATAGCGTTGGTTGCATACATTTGGAGAGCTAACCAGGTGAATATCTCCATACGTGTTGCTGGGAATTGTTTCTGTATTCCTGGACATGAGCATGCAGTATATTAAGCCGAATTATGATATGATTTTCAGCTACTATCATGAGTCATGAAGCAAGAGAGGCTTCAATGGCGGCTGTTCTGAGCCAGCTGCAAAATGCATGATAAAGTAAAATTAGCATAAGCCAGTTTGTAAGTTCGAGAACCTTGCCACCCATGCGGACACTTATTGTTCTAATGATGAGATTCCCCTACATTTCACAAACATTCTGAGTCCAGTTATTTGCAAAATAATCCACCATCAATGACGAATGGTAAAATCCTGTTTATACAATACGCTATGGGGAGGGGTGCTATCGAAACAATGTTTTTGAGACTTCAGATCGATTGTTGTTATTTTTAAAAGAATATAGAACATTGTGAAAGAGAAATGTTGTGTTCCGGTTACCT